AAATAAGCACTCTTAGCTGTGTGGATTTCAGGGCAAGCGAGCGCTCGTTGTACCTAATTGTCGGCTAGTATTTATAAGTAACATCTTAAGATTATGCTCTCTTATAATTAGTTTACGACATTTTAAGACTATACTTAAGATTATCTTGATTAGATTATATAATCAGATTATGCATATCGAATCTTTATCTTTTTCCGTATTGTATCAAGTAAAGAGAGGATCCCGTTAACGCAATAGCACACATCCACACACATCAGCCGCTGCTTAGGAATTTTCCAATGGACCATCAATCACGAAATTTTTATATTTAATTGGCCAATCAGCGTTCTGTGCTATGTCCCTCTCTCAAGTAGAAACATTTTGCCTTTAAAATTAATCCCATGCAGATTGTTGTATGATTTCTTTACAAAATTATAACAATTTCAGTTATAACGGTTTAATTGTATTAAAATTTTCAAATTCGAATATGTATATTTTCATACAAAAAATAAAACTTAAAAAATTTCCTTCCGAGGAAAGTAAAATAAGGAAATCCAAATGTGACAGATGTAAAAAAATTCGCTTACTTTTTAATTTCAGATAATTTAATTAATTTATTTACGGGGTAGAATCGTAGCTTAAGAATTAAGAATCGATATTCATAATCTGATTTGAGACAATAAATACAGTCTTAAAATGTCGTAATTAATTATAAGAGAGTATCTTAAGATGTTTCTTATAAATACTAACCGACAATTAGGTACAAGAAAGCGAGGAGCGCGCGCCTGCCCTAAGCGCCACATAGCTAAGGATTGCAAGGATTGCGAGGCTACTTATGTCGGACAGACAAAACGACAACTAAAAACTAGAATAAACGAGCATATTCGTAACATAAAAAAAGTTAATGACTTTCCATCTGTTATTTCAATTCACAGAATGAATTTTAATCATAAGTTCGATTGGGATTAAAATTCTTGACAAGGAATCTTCATAGAACAAGAGAATTTCCGAAATAATTCACATTAAAAAACAGCCTCAGATGATTAATAAACAAAGTGACACGGATCTTTTACCTGATTGCTACTTTCCCATCCTTAACCTACCCCCCATCCCCAAGTGTACCCTCTCCTTTCCAGAATATTCCTTCCTAAGCAAAAGATTTCGATTTGTCTTCGCTATGATCTTTATGTTTGTCACATTCGTGGATTTCTTTCTTAGTTTAACTTGATTGTAACACCGATCCGTTCCATAATAAGCAGCGTGGGCCGTCTCCAAGATAATTTCACGGTTTTTTTTTCTCAAACCGTCAAGACTCACTTAAGACAAATTTCATTTTCCACGATTTACCTTTCTTACCTTTCTTAAAAAACGTTAACTATTATTGATTTCAATACATATTTTATATGTATATTTTTTGTTTTTTATGGCTTAGGACGAGCGAACCTCTCACTTAATACCATTTCTCTGCATATTGGCCTTATACGTTGGAGATTTTCCACAGCGCTTATGCATCGAATTTTGCATCGAAACAGAAAAGAGAAAGATTCATTGCAATAAGGCATGAAGCGAATTCAAGTATCGTAAAACATAACCATACGTAAAATGGAAACATCTGCTGTTCCGTACATGATTATTTTCCTGTGAACTATAATTTCGCACACCAGTCTCTATTTGCTTAACATCATCAAGCGTTACTTCATAGTTTTTAAGTTCTTAACGGTTTTTTTACACTTAACATTTTTTTCTATGTAACTATTAATTTTCGTTAATTGTTTTTATAATCACATTATCATATTATATGATCGCATTGAAGATAACCTAATGTAAAGTCGAAACGATGTTTGTGTTTTTATTTTTTATTGTTCATGTACTTAATTTTTATTTTTATTATCGACGAATTATAAACAATTCACAAACATCTTTTTTACTTTTATGCCCCTGACTATATAATTTATTTTTTTACTTTATAAAGCGTCTATTTATTACGAATAAATATTATTATTATGTAAATGATAATTTTGAAAAAGAATTAAAGTTACTATCACTTGGGTTTTAGAGCAAGATACATATATACAGAATATCCTAAAACATTCGAATCATCGTTCGTCAGAAGGTAAAAGTGAGCGAGATAAATCAAAATGTCTTATACCATTTTGCGATATTCGCACTAATTTTCGTGTTATTAAATATTAAAGTACAAATAAGAGCACGCAGGAAGAAAGCGTTCGTCCGCCTGTAAGACGGATAAGAAGCGTGAGCGCGGCTACTCTTTCCCCTCGTTGCGCGCGATTCACCCATCACCGAACGCCGGGTGGCCAATGTCGACACGCTGAGCCGTTGCAATTGCGCAGTAATTAAAATAATAGAACGTTCAATTCATACACTATATTATTTAGATTTTATTTACAGATGCTACGAAATGCTACGAAATCAGACAATTTTTTTTATTGAATCGTTGCGTAAAGGATGAAAACAATATTTATTTTAACTTTTATATTTTAAACAATACAATACGTGAAGTCGTCAAAGATTAGGTATTAGGCCGCGCCTGAGGAACGCGCGCCGACCCTGATCGCTATGTACATACGCGCACTCATTCGTCATCTTTAATCTAATCCACTGTAAAAACTATCCGATTAACCAACTGTAACAAAATACAGTACGTGAAGTCGTCAAAGATTAAGTCCCAGGCCGCGCCGGCCTAAGGACGCGCGCCGATCCT